ATTGGATCAATTTTTGTAGAAAGAGAAGTTACTTGGAAAATGGGAACAAAATGTCCCAATGAGGAGAAAATGTTGACTGTGGAATAAATTAATTTTACCAGTATATATACACTTAATTATGAACAAGAGAATCAGAACAAGTTTCCTGCTATTAGAGCCAATTGGTTTATTAAATTAGAAGTTTGAATAATGTTCTTAAATTTTGTCATGGATTAGAATCACCCAGGAAGGCTGGCCAAAAATGTAGATTCCTGGACACTACAACTATTATTTTGCAGTAAAGGTCTGGTGTAGGGCCCAGGGGTATGGATTTTAGACAGCTTCCTAGTAAATTCCAAAGCCTGTAGTCTCTGTTAAATCAAAGCATGCCGAAAGGCAATATGGTTAAACATCCATGACACCATCATTTCATAAGGAGATTAGGAATAAGTCTATGCCATTTCCTTATCATACAGAGATGGCCTCCTTACAAATATCATCTGGAACCTTTATCTTCTGCTTTCCTGAAGGTCATTTTCAAGAACATCTTCCATTTATCTCTCAACCAACCAGATTTTCATCTATACCTTTGTACACTTGCTTACTCTGTAAAGGAAAAACGCATACGTGTATGTGTGTGCACATATGTGTACACGTGAACAGAAGGGTTGAAGACTCATAATATTATAGAAAATTCTCTTTTCCAACAGATCTAACCAAGGAGACGTTTTTGGCTCTGATATAGTTATCAAGACTTAATAATCAAATAATTTTAATCATAAATTAAAATCATGAACCTATTAGCCTAGGATTTGAGAGCTTTTTCTTAAAAAAATTAAAAATCTCATTATTCACAATCACCCTCCTAACTAACCTTATTCTATATGACATATATTCTAATATTATTGGCCCTATGGAACCTGGGCACCTTCTAATGCACTCTGGAAGCATTCTTCTTGGATTATACCTGTATATCAACAGTTGTTCTCATACCTGTATATTCAACGTGGACTCTCTGACAGAAATAGGTCCTTTTGTTTTGTACGTTGCAGTGTAATAAATTGCCCCTGAACTCTTGAATCTTGATGAAAAGAGACTAACTTACTCCCTGCCCTCCATGCTGGGTGGGTAAGTAGTTTCCCATGATGAATTAAACCCAATCTCCTCCATGAAAGTAATAATAGTGGACATTCCTGCTCATGAAGACACTCATTTAGGGGCTTAAAACTTGAATGGTAGATGTGAATGTGTGTGTGAAGATCACAGACAGATCCAGAAAGGAAGGAAGATGTTTATTGCTTTCCATACCTTGTAGAAGGACTAGATGTCGCACTGTCTTTTTGACTTCCTGTTTCCTTTATAGAACTCAAGGCATTTATGCATTTTGGACAATTAACTAGCAAGAATTTCATTTAAATGCACATATTCAAGAGATGAGAACAGTATGTCTTCCTTTCTTTGCACATTTATGACACATTTTCTTTGCACAAATAATGCATCAGTTTCATTGAGAAGAGTTGGAATTTTGTTATCAAAATCATTGGATGGGAAACGGCATTTTCAGAACCCACCTCTTTTCCTGTTTCACTAACAATATTCCTTACAACCTGTAAACATTCATGAAGAACTCTATTATTGTGATCCATTTTTAAACCAACGCACCCACTTGGAGTTATAATTTCCCCATAAAAAACTTTCCACGCTGATCACTTTTTTCCTTTAATACGCTTTGAGCATCAAGTCACATTGCTCCATCCATCGCAGGCGCTGCGGGTGGAGTTTCTATCTCAGTGCACAGCATGAAAGCATGGGTCCATCTGTGCCACACAAAGCCAAGCCTCTCTTGAAGTGATTTGTTTACAGTGTCATTTGATGGAGTGGAATGTTCTGCAACTCATTCGAACTGTTACAGAAGCTTTGCTAAAAGGTCACCACTGCTCTTTAGAGTGTCCAAATCTGGGCACCATCTGGGAGCTTGTTAAAGATAAGGTTCTCCACGGGCTTTTTCCATACAAATGAGATCGGATTAACAAAAGGCTACTTTTCCATAGAAGTTTGTGTTCATGTTGAGTAGAAGAGAGAGAGAGAAAGAGAGAACACAAGTAGATTACAGTTAGTTACCTCAAAGTGTGCAAGCCCACTTTCTCCCAATTCAGAGGGCATGTAACAAGTGATAGTACCATTGAATAGGCCTAAACAAGGGTGTTGGTCTTGAAAAAGTTAGAATTTGCTTTTAAATGTCCTTCTTGAATCAATACATTCTTCAAATATGGTCTTGGGAGTCTAAAGGACTTCAAAGATGGTCTTGGGAGTTCTAAAGGACATTGAATTTCACCATTTACTTGAAATTCAATAGGAAAATGACAACTAATTTTTTAAGGTAATAGAGGCTATGCAGGGTAAGCATTCACTGTGCACTGCACCAACAAGGTTCAAGTTGTTGTAACTACCGTTTTAGTCTAGGCCTAAAAGTGGCTTGTGCTTGCTTTCTGCCCCCTTTCTTATGAAACAAACATCTTGAATTTTCCAAACCTCAAAAGCTCAGCTGTAAAACTGTAGGAGACCAGCAAGAGGAAAAGGAAAACTTCCTTCAAAGACATCTCTAGTTGCAGTTGACCAGTTCTGCTTTCCGCCTCGAAACATTAACTATGTCTTTTGACACTTGTCTGTGAAAAACGTCCAAATGTGACAAATGGTAGAAACAACACTTCTTTACCCTCCTGCCTGGAACTTCCCATGATACAGATGAGTTCTAGCTGATGCTTTTGTGAGTGGAACAAGGAAGGTGGCTACTGTCCACCACACTCACTGACATCTGCAGATGGAATAAGTAAACACATAGTGAACTTACTGAATAAAAATTTTAAATCCTCTCATTTGCATTTGGTTGGAACCCCTGAAAGGGTCTGCACAGTAGCAGCTAAAACACAGGCTCATTGCCATTAAAAATATTCTCAGAAGTGTGTGTGTGTGTATTTCTAGTAGAATACTTGGAAGAAGAGAGACTTAAATCTGGAATCATGTTTTTGTCTCTGTAGTCCAGGCTGGAGACATTAAAAACAACAATGTCTCCCTCAGTTCAATCAAGCTGGTCTGGGAACCAAAATCATCCTGAGGAAGGGGGAGAAATCCATTTATTTTCCTTGTGAGGCAAGGAGGGAGGTCTTTCTCACAAAGTCTTTGTGTGTCATTCAGGACCAGGAAACTTAATCTTCGAGTTCAAAGCTCGTCTCATCATAGAGCTCAGGACGTGCTGACTTCTTGTGCCGGGAATATTTCAGTTGCAGGAGATCACCCATTTCATCAAGAGCTTCCAAAACCTGCAATGAGATTGCTTTCCAATAGCTATCATTGAACACCTAAGTAACCGTGCTTTGCAGAGCCCAGGTTAATAGCAAGCCTCACAAAGACACACAGTCTTACTTTGCTAGCTTCTTTGATTTTGAAGAAAAGAAGCAAGATCCGTACCATTAGGTTGTGGTTTAAGACCCTAGAGGAATGTTAGATGCTAATTAATTTTATTTATTGGTCTAACTCCATACTATGAATGATATTTTATTTTGAGAGTGTGAAGAGGAGAATAAAAACATGTGACCCATGCTTACCCTTAAAATATTTTATTTTAAAATGTGATGACTTATATGTAATCTTGTGGAAGAAAAAGATAAGGTTGCAGAATGTATTTGAAGTTATATCTTCAAGACACAGCAAACCACCTGGCCAAGAACAAAGTGGAATGTTGTGGGAGATGATTAACATCATCCTCTGTCCCCTCATGCTACCCCAGGCCTCCTGCTTTTAAATACTCATCTCTGTGTCCCATGAAATACTAGAACTTAACTCACAGGGACTGAGAACTCATCTGTTTCAACTCTCTTACTTTAGGCGGGTAGACGTATCCCCAGTTTTACACATGAAACAACTGAGATCCAGAAAGTAAAAAAAGGTCATTTTCGATTGTAGCATATCACTAATCCTATGGTATTGGTCATGCCTTTTTAACCTTTCTGAGCCTGTTTTTCTTAACTTGCCAAATGAGGAGGAAGATAATATTAGGGTCTAATACTTTGAAAAGGTAAGGTGAGGGCTGGGCGCAGGGGCTCATGCCTGGAATCCCAGCACTTTGGGAGGCCGGGCGGGTGGACCACGATATTAGGAGATCGAGACCATCCTGGCTAACACGGTGAAACCCCATCTCTACTAAAAATACAAAAAAATTAGCCAGGCGTGGTGGCGGGTGCCTGTAGTCCCGGCTACTCGGGAGGCTGAGGCAGGAGAATGGCATGAACCCAGAAGGCGGAGGTTGCAGTGAGCCAAGATTGCCTCACTGCACTCCAGCCTGGGCAACACAGCGAGACTCCACCTCAAAAAAAAAAAAAAAAAAAAAAAAAAAAAGAGAAAAGGTAAGGTGAGGGTTGTTAATGTTAGAATGAGTGACTAATGGGTCTTATGGACTTTCCTCTTTGGGAAATCTTTCAAACTGACATTATTTAAGATTTCCTCCAACATGTTAAGAGCAATTGATTTCTTGGTGGTAGGAGTATGAGTATTTAAAATGTTCTTCCCTGTTTTTGTAAATTTCCTACATCGTATCTCAGTACTAAGAAAAAGTAACCAAAGTTATCTTTAAAATGACACCTCTCTGGGATAGTTTCTATCAATCTTTGCTGAAGGTGGGGGATGGACTAGTTCAGTGGTATCCAAAGTGAAGGACCTGCACATTTGGGGCATCTGTGAGATAATTTATGGAGGATGCAGGAGGAAAACATTAGGATTTCTATTATTATTATTATTATTTTTTTTTTTTTTTGAGACAGAGTCTCACTTTGTTGCCCAGGCTGGAGTGCATTGGCATGATCTTGGCTCACTGCAACCTCCGCCTCCTGGGTTCAAGTGATTCTCCTGCCTCAGCCTTTCGAGTAGCTGGATTACAGGCATGTGCTACCACACCTGGCTAATTTTTGTATTTTTAGTAGAGACGGGGTTTCACCATGTTGGCCAGGCTGGTCTCAAACTCCTGACCTCAGGTCATCCACCCACCTCAGCCTCCCAAAGTGCTGGGATTATAGGCGTGAGTCACCGCGCCCAACCTCTATTCACTTTTATCTCAACCTTTTAAACTTTTATTTATGTGTCTCTTATATAATGTACATAATATATTGGTAATGTGTATATCATTTATAAATAATTTATGTTAATGTTTGCTGATCCAAGAACACCCAGAACACACTCGTGCTCAAAGTTAGGTTTCTTTAGCTTGCTGGTATGGGAGAGGGAGGACACTGCGGAAGAACCATGGGCACCTTAGTGACAGGAGGATGGGAGCGGCTTCTCACTGCATTTGAGCTTGTGCCTGAGATGACTCTAAGGAAGCAGGGACTGGTTCTGGGTTGGATGCTGTTAAGAAATGGGAGCAGTTCACTGGCTGGCTATATAGTTATAACTTCTGTGTGAAAGGCGAGAGAATTAAAGCAAGGCTATAGTTGTTATTGGTAAATGAGCAAATGTCACACATGTCGGTCAGAAGAGGGAGACATTAAGTATTGTGGCCTTGTCTCTGTCTTGTCCAAATGTGGTCGCGGAGTGCATGTCTAATATTATTTCTAGTCTATGAGCCTTCAGGTTCAATTGCTACCTTAATGTACTGGCTGTTCATCAGGGTCATTTTCCACTTTCTCTTACATGTACATTAAGGAACTGCTCAAAATTTTCTGTTGAGATGGGTGCTTGATTTTAAAAGTTTAGAGGCATTTGTCTAGATGATTGATGTCTCAGTATCCTTTCAAAGTAGGTATTTTGCAGCAATTAAGAAGTTGTGAAGAGAATCACCTACACGAATACCTCAGTGCTGCTTGGAGCACAAAATTACAAATTCATCCATGCGGTCTGTCCCTCCTGTCATCTCAGGGAACTTGCTTCCTGGCCACACTCTCTTCTCTCCCTTCTGTGCGAGGTCCCTTCTTCACTGTCTTCTTCCTTTAATGTGTAAACATACTCAAGCCTTCTCCACTTTCAAGGGTATTTTCTAATCCTATTTTTTCTTTCTACAGTCAGACTTCTCGAATGTTTTGCCTGCCTTTTCTTTCTTTCTTTCTTTTTTTTTTTTTTGGCCAAATCTTTTTGCCTGCCTTTTCTTAACACCAACTCATTTCATTTAAAAGAAACAATTTGTTAAAATTCACATTCTGGAAATACATTTTAGCTCATTTTAGAGAATCTGGAAAATATAGAAGGGTGTAAAGAAAATAATGTTCACTCATCTCAAAACCTGGTTAGCTCAGTTGTTAATATGCTATTCAATAATTTGTACTGTGTACCTACTGTGTACAATACACTGGTTTATGTTTTGAGACTATACTGGTGAAGATGAAGGACACGGCAAGTGTGTGTGTGTGTGCGTGCGCACATGTGTATGTGTATAATTTCAAACTCAAATTATCCTCTTTACTCTTTTATTCTTTTATTATTTCTGTTCCCTTCATTCCCTTAAAATGCCTACTCTAAGGAATATCAAGTTCCTACTAATTGCTAATCCAATAGTTTTTTCTCATCCCTCACTGCATTTAAACTTCCTGCAGTTTTGAGGGGCATTTTGACCCTCCTCCTGCTTGAAACTTTCTCCTCTGTATGGAGTTTAATACTACACTGAACATGTCTTTCCTGACTGCTCTAGTTCCATGTAAGTCTGGGTCCCCACCTGTGATTCCTGTATCTACCCTGGAATGTAGGCACTCCGCAGGAGTCCACCCTGTTCACTGTTGCTCACATCTGGACAATTACATATTCTACTGTTGGCTGTAAGGATCCCTCAGTTCCCTAAACTATAGCAGCTCCAGCTTTGCATACTCTCCTAAGCTCTAGAATCTTACTTTTCTTCTATAGGTGGCCCATGGACACATAGTCTCAACATGTCTAGGACTGAGCTCATTCTATTCCCCCACTCCCACTGAAAATTTGCTCTTCCTTACTGTATACCTTATCTCATTTAAGTGCTTCACCATCCTTCTATTCATCAGGGCTAAAGACCTCAAATTGTCTTTGATTCTCTCTTCTCACATATGCACCACATCCAATCATTTGTCAAGTCATGGCAGCTCCACTCATTTGTAATATTTGTTCATGGATTCGTTTCTTTTGTTTCCACTACCATTAGCCTTGTCATCTCTTGTTTTGTTTAAATAGCTACATCTTAGGTCCTTTCCTTTGGCCCCGTTCCTCTCCAATTCATTTGTCACGTTCATTTCATAATGACATGATTGTGTCACTCCACTGATTGGAAGTCTTGGATGATGCTCGGTAACCTTTATTAAAAAGGCCTGGCTCAAAAGCCACTTCCCCTGTGAATCTTCTCCACTCTAATAATTCAGCCCACCTTCATGCTCCCACAGTTTTCTATATTTCTTCTTCAAGATTAATTTATTCTGTCTAGTATTATATGTGTTGCTTGTTTATTAGCATCTTCTCCTAGACTTTTTGCCCCAGGTTTGCACATAGTTGACTCTCAATAGTGTTTGCAAAACTGCATTTATGTTATGTGACTCTTCCCATTATCTCCAAACTGAGTAGATGGCTTCGTTCTCTGATATTACTTATTCACATAACAATGGAAATCAAGGGACAATAAAAGGCAATTTAAAAATCATTTCCGCCTCACTTAGGTGCTGCTGTAATGTGGATTTGTTCTTGTTGTTGGTTTTCCAACATGTTGCTTAGTTGGGTCATATTTTATTATGGCAGATTTCGTGGCTATGAAAAATGGCAGGATACACATAATTAAGTCCAAAATAGCATTTTACACCAGGTTTTGCATTTAAGATTAAGTAAATATAACAACATTTGGCTACTCAGTCAGTCTTTTCTAGGAAACCAAAATACTGATTGAAATCTTCACTAAACTGATTTTCTTTTCTATCTACTGAGTGGTCACAGTGTTGGCTGTTGTTGACGTGCCCTTATTTTTCGGCAGTGACTTTTGTCAGTGTTGTTTTCCTAAATCACCCAAGAGAAACTCAGAGAACCCCAGGCTGTTTCAATAAAAGGACTTGCTTTGAATCCAGGGTACCAGTACTGAGATCCTGTTGGCCTGTGGTGTACTCACCGTGTCTAACATCTCCCGGGTATGGGCTGCTGAAACACAAAACCGAGCCCGAGCTTCTGCGAGGGGAGTGGCTGGAAATCCCACGACCACCACTCCAATTTTTTTCTCTAACATATGCCTTGCAAAAGCCCTTAAGGAAAAGCAAAAAAAGAAGAAAAAAGTGGTTAATTGGGAAAAGACAACATTATCCTGACAAAAAAGGAATATGGCTAATTGACTTCTTTTTTTCTTTTTTTATGATAATAAGTGGAAGATGATTGAAGTTTTTGAACTTCTGTCAAATACAATTGACGAATAAATGGGCAGTCAGCCACTTGGTGCCACTCACGATGGTGTGTGTGGGATTATGGGTCTGACACACTCATCAGGTAATTGTGGATATTGAGTCTTTGACACCAAGCAGAAAATGCTGATGTTTATGACACTGGTTTAACAAATCTGCAGTGACATAAAATCCACCTGCAGGATCCCTAGGTATAAAAACCAAGCAGTTCCTATAATGCAATTCCATAAAGAAAGAATCTATATTAATTGTAAACCTACATGTTTTAAAAACTTAATACCAATAACGTAATGTGGAAATTTCAAGGAGCCTATACTTAATGAGTATAATGTGAAGACCAAGATCAGAGGGTCTGTAGGATCCAACCCCAAGTCAATATTCTCACTGCAGCGCCAAAGATTATGTTTTCCATCAAATCAGAGATAAGAAATAGCAAGGTCTCCTGATCGTTTCATAAGTGAATGAACATACCCAGGGATGCACAGGGATAATAAACTCAGCGACTGAGTTTAAGAGGAATGGGGCAGAAGGGAGACCAGGAAAAAAGTGTTCACGCAGAGAACCTTACAGCCTATAGGACGTAAGTCATAGAACCAGAAAGCTGTTTGATGCAGGGTAAAACCTTCGTGAGCTATGATTCCTTCTATTCATCCTTCTAGTCTCTTTCTTTTCCAGAGCTAATCTCAGTAACAATTCTAGAATATCAAGCTCGAAGTCTGTAAATATCTAGTGCTGAGAGCCAAGGTCAGACAAAAAGTCACTCCAGTGACTCTTTTTCCCCTTTGGGCTCTGTTAGTGTTTGCAGGAAAACTTAATTACTGAGTGACTTTACCCATAAGTGAGGTAAATGCCTCAGATCTGTTCTTAGCATTAAGAGATTGCTGTTGTATTATTTTAGGCTGGAAGCTGACAGCACCAGAGAAACATTCCAATCACAGGTCAGGAAGAATTCTTGAACCAGACATGGAGAACAAGCCTGCCCTTCCATTCACTTGTTTTGCTGTTGAGCAGTCTGCCTTTGGTTGTTTCAGACAGAACATAGGTTATCAGATGAAGCAATGAAGACTGCAAGACCTACAAGATGCATAGCTTCTCTGGCCCCCTGGCTTGGGCGAGGCAATATTAGCCCTTTGATTTCAACTAGGAAGGTTGGAAGGAGATGAAGCTTTCTAGCTGAGAAAGCTTGAAAACAGAGACTGTTCTTTCCCTTTCTTGATCACCCTATGGAAGGCTGCCCACGGAACTGCACAGAATGAGAGCTCATAATTGTCTGAGAAACAAGTCAAGTGCTTTTATTGCTAGAGTACAAACCACCTGACCCCTGATCTCAGGCCAGTTTTTGGGACTCCCAGAAGACCGCTTTCACTGTCTGCATGTTTCTCTTTGTACCAAAGGAAGCACGTTTTGCCAAAGAATGCAGAGCAAAATATATGACTCTGTTGATTCATTAGGCTAATGTGGCGTCTCCCTGGAGCACTTCTGAATTTAAACCTTACACTACTAAAGCTAGTGTTCTTAAGTTAATATGTATGATTGCACTGGAAATTTTATATAATGAGCCTTTGTGTTTGTACTCCCCGAAGCAATTGGCAATAGGCTGAAAGAAACTAAACTATGTGAAATAATAATAATAATAATAATGATAATAAACATTAGCATTGCATTGTATGCAGAATCACTACCTCTTGTATAACACCATCTTCCAAGTGTATTACATGAACAGGGGAAGAAAAATGCAAACCCTTTACCAAATACCAAATACAATACATTCTTGATTATTTAAGTATGTTTTATGGGTGAAATCACATTACACAGCTCTCTAGAAGATTCCAGTGGTAGACTTATAACAAGGCTTTGTTCAAAAGGATAACTTGCTACAGACTATGTTTTCATTCTGCATAGGAGGAAACGTGGAGATCACCATTCTTTAGTAAAATCAAAGGTTTTAAAATGACCAAATGAAAGAAGTGCTTCCACACTGGCTTATACAATTAACACCCTATTTCAAAAACGTCTCTACCTATAAACTTCCAACAAAGAAATATCACAGAAGGGAACAAAGCCAGACAGCAGGGCAAAATCTTGCCAGCAACTCCTACCGGTAACAGATAATACTACCTTTTGTAACTAACCTGTTCTGTTTTGTTAGGTGAGCCAGATTTTTTTTTTTTTTCTGTTTGTAGTGATTGCTGCCTTTTGAATCACCAATGATGACATTAAAAATAGTTATAGTTATACTCTGTGTTGCTTTAATGAGATGTGCATTTTTTCCCTATGGACTAAAGCTTGAGAGATTGTGTTCTGTGTTCAAAAGAGCTCTAATTTATGAAGCCAATGAAACTGGCTTTGAATTCTAGGCTCTGCTGCCTGCAACCTGTGTGAGTCTTAGAGAGCAATTTTTTTTTTTTTTTTTTTAGACAGAGTTTCATGCTTGTTGCCCAGGCTGGAGTGCAGTGGTGTGATCTCAGCTCACTGCAACCTCTACCTCCCGGGTTCAAGCGATTCTTCTGCCTCAGTCTCCCAAGTAGCTGGGAGTATAGGTGCCTGCCACCATGTCCAGCTAATTTTTTTTTTTTTTGTATTTTTAGTAGAAACAGGGTTTCACTGTGTTGGCCAGGCTGGTTTCAAACTCCTGACCTCAGGTGATCCACCTGCCTCGGCCTCCTAAAATGTTGGGATTACAGGTATGAGCCACCACACCCGGCCTTAGAAAGTAATTTGACCTTTCCAAGTCTTAGCATCTTCATATATAAACTAGGGCTAAACATCCTACCCTCCATGGGTAATCACTGAGGTCTAATAGCCTTACTTAGCATATATTTAGTACTCTGTGATATTAACTCTTCTTAAAAAACAATCTTAAGTTGAAAGAAACAAGATGGTTTGACATATTATCCAGTGAATATAGCAATATGGAAGTGGAGTGTAGCAGGATCTTTACCTACTATTTTTTTCTGGACGTTTTATTTTTCGTAATGCAACCAAAAATTGTAATAATTATTTTGGAGAGCTGTGCAACCATGGTGACTCAACCTTGTACTCAGTTGAAACTGATAATGATCATCATTGTTGCAGAGTAGTAGTAGTAAAATGGCTACCACTGATTGAATGCTTAGGGCACGCCAACTACTATATTAGGTGCTTTGTACACATTACTAAAAATGACATTATTAATGACTTTATTGATTAATGCTATTAATAATGACAGCTAACACTGAATAGCTCTTATATAAGAGGTAACATGCTAACTGCTTTATGGACATCATCTTGTTTAATCTTCACAGTAACCTTATGAAATCGATACTATTATGTCCCATTTTATAAATGAGAAAGCTGGAGCTTCAGAAAGCTGAGTAACTTGTCCAAGAATCCCCAGCTAGGAAGAGGAATAATCAAATTTCTTTTTGATTCCAAACCTTTCACCACACCATAGAGCCTAACTTTTATATGAAGCATATTGTTCATAGCATATTGTATGAATTCTTGAAGTTACATGCATTTGTTTTCACTACTTATGGACTCTTCTCATTGGGTTGGTTCAGTTTTCCAACCTGTTGGAATTCTAATTCTGGCTTTTGTTATTAAAGTTGGAACTATCCAGAACACTCCCTACTGTCAGTGTAACACTCCAGAATTATGTGTGTTTTACCTTGGACACGTTTATTTTCAGTGCCTTCTTTTGAGCTAATGATAAAATACTAGATAAACCTGAGCTAAGTTTGGACTATTTCTTCCAACACACATCATTTCCCCAATCATTTTGAATAAATGTATGTGTGTCTGTGCATGTGTGTGTGTTTGTGTGTCTTCAAAAATCAGGTGGTTAGGGGCCTTTGGATTGTCTGCTACTTTCAGTCACCGTTGTCACCCCTCCTTGACATTATCACAGAGCAGTACGATGTATAACATTTCTGTGGCACATTATGTCCTCAGACACTTCAGGCACTGTTTTCCTGACCAAATCTGTGAACAAAGGGCCAACTGGTGGGAATGATGTGGCATGCTAAAAACTCATGTGTGTTTTAACTGCTTGTGATTTTGCTGTGGTAAAATGGCCCAAGACATAGTCTGAAGAATCAGTCTTTTAGGAACTTAAAACTCAGTCTTGCCCTCTGTGAGTTTTCATGAGTAAGCCCCAAGCCTCTTTGATTGGTATTTTTCTATACTTCAAGTACTCTGCCAATCTAGTCAGGCTATTAGAGAGTCAAACAAAGTTCCGGCAATGGTTTACACTGGAGGGGAGTTAGGACCACTAGAATCTGATGCATAGTATGTTGAATATGAATTTCTATCATGTGCTTGGTCAGAGACACAAACATTTTACCTTCAGAAAGGATTTTAGTTAACTTCCTTTTTTTTTGAGACAGGGTCTCATTCTATCACCCAGTCACCTAGGCTGGAGTGCAGTGGCACAATCTCAGCTCACTGCAACCTCTGCCTCCTGGGGTCAAGTGATCCTCCTGCCTCAGCCTCCCTAGTAGCTAGGACTACAGGCATGCACCACCACGTCCACCTAATTTTTGTATTTTTAGTAGAGACAGGGTTTCACCATGTTGGCCAGGCTGGTCTCGAACTCCTGACCTCAGGTGATCCACCTGCCTCACCCTCCCAAAGTACTGGGATTACAAGCATGAGCCAATGTGCTCTGCTAGTTAACTTCCTCTTAACAACATGTAATTAGTCTAATTATATTAGTCTCTAGTAGGTTGGAGAAGGACTCACGTATAAAATTGTCCCTGCCAAACTGACAAAAAGTCATGTTCTCCTCTTTATACAGTTGTTGCTAATGCTGAGTTTCAAAGTTACAATCAAGTAAACAACCCCCAAACAGGTTCACAGTAAGGGCATGAGAAACTGAGCATGAGCTTCAATGTGAGCCTTGGTTTGGGTTTTTGCATCTTAGTTTTACTGCTGTTTGACTTGTATGACTTGGGGCAGGTTGCTTAACTGCTCTCAGCCTCAGCTTCCCCATGCTTGAAGTGAGAATGTCCTCTTCTGAGGATGGCCACAGAGTTCAATGGGAGAAAGCACAGAGCCTGATCACATTGTTTTGATGGTAATATGGGGAGAGATGATCTTCAGAAGTTCTCCCTGAGAATGGTCTTGGGTCAGAAGGAGGCTCAGGATCGTGCTTAATTTACAGGTGAGGCTGAGGGAGATAAGTGATTTCCCTGATTTCACAGGACTTGAATTTAGGGAGACAGCTCAATCTTAGCACCTGGTTCCCTTTCTGTAAGACCTGTGGGAAGGGTCTAGCTGATAGGCTGGCAGGTGGCTTCTGAGCAGCTGTATGAGTGAATTCTGAACTCAATCACCCCATTCCAAATGCATAATCTAATGCCTGTGCCAAAAAGCCATCTTAGGTCACCTTGGGGTTTAGGTGTGATTATGAGATGCCTTGGATACTTACGCTACTTTACCAGGCATGTAAAGAAGCAGAGGAACAACAGGAGAATTCTCATTGCCATAGATAATGAATCCCATTTCCTGCAGTCTTTGTCTGAAGTATCTTGTGTTTTTCGCAAGTTGCCGTACTCTCTGCAACCCTGAAAAGAGACAGGCGTGAAATCCATCAATTTCCGCTAGAAAGAGGGAAGTAAAGTTCAGGTCAACTTGGCAAGCATCTCTAAGTCTTTCTGCAGGTCAGCAGCACTAGCTGGGAGGAGGAAGTAGGGAAGGGAGATATCTCCTGGGGAGTAGGTGTGGGCACTGATGCCCAGGTACTGCACTGAACCTGGAAGGCAGGAAGAGAGGTAGATGATGCTGTGAGGTGCTGCAAGCAACTGAAGCCAGGCTACGCTAGAAGGCCAGTGGGAGGCAGGGGAGGTACCTATTTTTTATAGACTCTGTGCAAAGTACCTTAAAAACACCAACACGAGAGAAGGGAGTGTTATTAGAAGTAACATAACCACTTCCCCCCACCCCCCATGCTTCATAGCAGATATTGGTAGATGCTTTTTAGCTAAACTGAATTGGCTCATTAAATTGTCCCTCAGTTAAATCTCTAACCCAAGGATCCTTCATCCAATCTGAATTTGTAGGGATAGCACATTCATAGACAAAGGTAAGTCCTGCTGAGATCAGGGCTGTTTTTTGAGGCATTTGGTGGTAGACTAACAGAAGGGAGGAAAGAGGGGGACTCCTGCTTTCCCAAGCCAGAAAAAAGGACAACATTGACCGAAAACAGAAGGACAAGCAAAGTACATACAGGGATCCATGTCAAGGTTATTGGTGCTTCATCTCTAAGTCTTATATCCTGTGTCCTAAGTGTGTGTCCCAGTGCAGTGTTCACACATGTGAGATGTCAAAGTGATGAAAGAGCAGAAAGTCCCATCCTGAAGATTCCTGTCTACTCAGGTCCTGCTTCAAAATAGGTGGGTAAGTAAGCCAGCCAAAGCTAGATAGTGTTTGCTCAATAAGAATGAATAGGATTAAACACTGAAGTCCCCTAGAAATCAGCTCAAAGTTTGCATTTGATGCAGGATTGCTGCTGGGCAGGAATGTGTCACTACAGTCTTATATCTTACTGGTTGTCTTTAGCGGACCTCCATTCTGAGTGGTGAGATGTTCAGACGAACTGGTCAGAGATTCTGCTCTAGAGGTTATACAATGTTTTGAACATCACTCATGGGTGTTTGTAACTCTTCAGATGGAAATAGGGTAAACATTTCAGTAAACATGTCAATCACAGTCATCTGGTCTCTTCTTAGAGAAATAGCCCCAGATTGTGCCTTGACAAAGAATTGAGCAGTGGGCATCTTGTGCTCAGTATCCTTCTCCAGAGAATCATACTGTTGAGTAGGGTTGGCCCTGACTTTCCTCTTTTCTACAAGGTAGTATGAGGGCCAGTCTTGATCAGTTGGAATACTTCATTCCCCTGATTATTGGTTTGATGATGGAGCACAACTAGGGACTATTTGAGTCTTTCTTTCAGATCGACTGAGGAAGAAGTGTAAGCATCAAATAATTATAAAGCTGCATCTTTGGTCCTCTCCTGGAGGAAGCCTGCTTGAGAATGATATTGACTTACATAGAAGTCACTGCGCAGGACACTGAGAGTCCTGATGGCATCATCTGAACCTTTGGGTCTAGCTGTGCCTAAGCCAGACCATTTTTTTAGACTTCCCTGCTGTATGAGCCAATACATTTCCTCTTCTGCCTCCTATAACCAAATGTGTCCTGAATAATTCAGGTGGTGGCTACTAATTGGATCAAGTAGCCTCTAAAGGACAATAATAATATCAACAACAACAATAATTATAGCTCACCCATATGTGATGTCACCATTGTTATAAGTTCTTGACATTTATTGATTTAGTCATCACAACAACCAAATTGGTATAAGAACTGTAATCCTATGTTATACCCAAGGAGAAGCCAAGTAACTTACACAAATTTACGTAGTTGGTAGGTGACCAAGCCAGAATTGGATTCTAGAATCTTAGATTCTAGAATCTTCTAAAGATCAATAAAACTCTCATTTCTGCCAGCTGTTTGTATTATGATTTATATATATATATAATATGTATAAATACATATAAAATATATTATATATAAATACATATAAAATATATTATATATATAAATATATATATATTTTTAAGTAGAGGCAGTTGAGAGTTGAAGGCTGAGCAAGTGCTTGATGGACTCATGTTGTGAGTGGTTGGGTAAGGTATCGCTAGCATAACATATCGCTAGGTTGGAGTCTAGGGCCCCCTTCACTTTAGGTAGAGGTCCTGAAGGGCTGTGTCCAAGGAGCGAGGGTGAACCAGGTATAGACAAGCTCCCAAAGGCACTTTCTTTACCCAGACATCTAACATTTTTTCACTAGTCTCTATCACTCGCAAAATACTTCAAATATTCCTTTAAGTTTTCCTTTGGTCATTGGGCCTAAATGGACTTAACTTCTGTGATACCTTAATTGTGTTAACGATACGGTATATGCAGAGAAATGGAGATTTAGTTGAGTGGAACACAGACCAAGGAGCAAGATGCTAAATGCCCCGATCGTCCATGCTTGTTTTCTGTTACTTTCTTTTTCCCAACTCCAGTTCTCAAGGATGATCCCTCCCCAACTCTGCCAGCTCCCAGCAGGCAGATTGGGATGGAGAGGTCATCCGGCTTATTGTTCTTTCCTAGGGATGCTGACATCTCAGCCCCTCTATCCTGACCACAGACAATGAATGGAGCATGCCCTTGACCCAAAGGCAGTCCACTTTGGTGTTTGCAAGGAAGCCATACATTGGTCTATCATAGGAGCTTTGAAAAAGAGACAATAAATATAAATTAAACAAACCAGATCTTCTTGCTATTACAGTGTGGATGTGAAAAATCTAGAGAGGATGGTAGTAAAATTTAGCTGGTAGTAAGAGTAGAAATTGAAAGACATAGAAAAAACGCTTATTGGCAGAATCTGTGAGACAGAGTAAACTATTGGTTGGTAGAAGTTGTGGCTACCTATAAAGAAGAGAGGTGGGCAGTTCAAGGTTAGTCAGTAACAATAGGAATAGTAAGATATAAAAACAGAAGAGCTTATAGTCTTGTGAGAGAAACAGACATTAATCAAATAATCACACAAATGGTTGTAAAATTGCAACTCTGATGAGCAGTGTAGAGAAATGTTATGTGGTGTTATGAGAGCTCATAAGAGGGAGACTGGACCAAATCTGGAAAAAATCAATAAACGATGAATGAACAAAGATCCAAAGGATGAGCAAGTATTAACCATACAAAAAGCTAAAGGAGAGCATTCCAGGCCTAGCAAATAGGTGTAATGGTCTTGTGGTTTGTAGAAGAACACAGAAGTTGTGAACAAGGCAAGATGTAGTTGAGGGTGGGACAAGATGAGGCTGGAAAGATGAATGGATTGTCTAAAAAAGAAAAAATGAGGTGAGACTATAGGGATTGAAGAATCCCACACTTGATGATTGGAAGGAGTAGGAATAAGATGAATTTGAAAGGGAGACAAAATAGCAGCAACCAGAGAGGGAGAAAACAAAGCCGGACATAGAATAGTGTTCCTTGGTTTTATCAACATGACAACTCATTGACAACCTTTACTTTGGAGTCCCTGGATGGAACTTTGATTTTAAAGAAAGAAACAGGTAGTTCCAAGTATGGTTTCTTAGTTCATATTCCTTTCAAAATCCCCAATTCTAAATTTGCAATGTGAATAGAAGTAAGAAATCCAGAGACGCGTAGAAACATCTGTGTGTCTCTCTCTCTCTATATGCTTAGACACAGTCTCCTTTGTGCTAAAAAAAAGGAATTTTATAACATGCTGGTGTGTCCCTTGGAAACTTGTATGTTTACAGAGCTTATTGGAAGCGCAGGATTAGAAATTAAGAAGGAGAATATTTGCCTTACTTAAGAAAAATCACCCATACATTGAAACTGTGTTTAGAGAGTTAAGAACATGTGGAGTAGGGGGAGATTGTGGACAGAAGGAAAGGAAAAGAGAGCTATGGTAAGGATTGTTTTAAAGGTGATTGAAATCAAGGCACAGAGATACATCTCAGCCACCAAAATATATTCCATATGGCCTGTCCCCGTGTGCGTTCAGCACTTTTGTGGCTCATTAGCTGCACAATGAACAGATGACTTAATCAGGCTGGGCCTGATGATTCCTACATGTTCCCCCTTGAAGACTAGAAGGATTTCCTGGCCTGGAAGTGCCTGAGTGGCTTCAATTGCTTTTCCCAATGGCATTATCTTTGCACTTGCCTATAATGATTCATCTATCATTGGCTGCCTAGCTACTTAATTGGCCCCGGCTGTCCCTGCTTCCTTGATTAACCCAAGAAACTGGATCATCAGCTAATGTCACCATTTCACTGCTTCCAGATCCTTCAGAGACTTTACCGAACAGATGATGTCCAGGGGTCTCTGACGCCTAAGAACTAAATGTTTTACTCTTCCCTATCTTTCCTATCTTTGAACCATTTAGCACAGCATGGCTGACAAGCCATTATGACACACTTTGTGGTTGCCACACTTTCTCATATAGGTCACTACAAATGCCTTTGAGGTCTTTTGCGTTTGCCAAGATACAGCTCCTTTCAATTACTGTATTGCTCATTCTTCAAAATTGAAAACATTCTCATACTCTTGGAAGGCCTAGGGACAGAGGTGGAATTTGTACATATAAAACGCTACTCATCTAAACAGGATGCAAATGATTTTATTAATTACATTGGGCTTTGAGGTTTTTGCTTGAAGAGTGATTTGCAAAAGTAGAAGCAATATTTGGTGCATGTTCTTTTGTACAGGGACAGGCCATGCTAGGATGGCAAAGGGAAGCTTTGGAGATTGGGCACTGCGGCCACATCCCCTTCAAGACACTCAGAGTCTCCAATTAAGTAGTTTCTGATCCTTCTTCTACATATTACACAGAAGACAGGGAAAGTCCCTACTCACGTAAATAAGTGAATGAAAAAATCTCTTACGTAGCCTTCTGCAGAGTTTCCATAAGTATTTGTCATATTTTGGATTCTCTGAGGAGGCTGTTGAGTGGAAAAGGAATAGGCTTTGGAGTTAAGTGGGATGG